ACACTAATTTTTTTGCTGTTTAAATTAGTATTCATGGTATTTTATTTTTAAAATTACAAAATTCACGTACATTACAGTGTGATAGAAACAGAATGAAAGAGCATAATAACATTTTTTTTCCTGCGACCAAAGAAAAATTTTTATTGTGAATTTATTGCATTTTTTTATCCCAAAGAACTATAGAAATGTTGTCTTGTACAAATTTGGTCTAATATATAAATGATGTTTTTTTCTTTTAGCAGCTAAAAAAACTTGCTACTTTTAATAATACTGTTAAAAACGTTCTTGACTTCCTGCTTCTTAAATTATAAGTTTCTAATTTTGTTTTTCATTTTTGTAGCGTATACTTCCATTTCTCTTATACAGATTTTTTTTTACCTGTTTTACAGTTATTTTTATCTGCTTCAGTTTCAAATCAACGTCCTTCATACAATCAAAAATGTATTTATCTTTTGTTTTTTAAATAATGATTAAGTGCAATATTCTTATCATTTTGTGGCATTTTAACATTCCTCAAAAACACAAATTACTTCAAGACGATTATTTAACAGCCTTTTAGGCTTGTATTGTGATCAATTAAGATAAAATGAATTAATTAAAAAGGATTTATATATTTATTTTACTCCAATTAAGCAAAATGAAAAAAATGTACACTGTAAAATCAGATTAGTTAAACTTACTTTTAAAAACCATGCAAACTGATTGCACTTAAAATAAGTTCACATAGGCAGGTAATTATATGTGGGAGCCACTAATACTTACAGATTAAAATGTACATATACATATACATGGTACTAACCAAAATAAACTAGTACTAGTACTTGGAAAATTGCTTACTGAAGTTATATTTCTGAGTTGAAAATACTTAAGAAGTTGTGTACAGTAAGCAAATGTGTTTGTCTTGGTTATAACAAAGTACACGTGCATTTTACTTTTTTAGGTATTAGTAGCTCCAACACAACTGATCAAATTTTTTTAGCAGAAGACTTTCTAAGATCATGTTTTAAACCAACGTTGCACTCAAATAGATGACAAGAAGATTGCAGATTTTTTTCACTTAAACTGCAGCAATAAAAAAATCATGCAAAAACATATTTTGACATTTTTTATTTAAGTCCATTGATTAATCAAACAATGTAATTTGGTTTGTATTTAACAGAATTTAGTCTAATCTTGTGAATTTAGTCTATAAATTGAAATCCCTTAACAGTTTAGCCGGCTGTCTGTCTGATAGGAACACACACACTATTGTTTCAACCGTTTAAATGAGATTCCTTGACTGCTGAGGTGCAGATGAATTATGTATGTGTTGCTGTGTGCTTATACGTGGTAGACATTGCCTCCCTGGGAATGTAGGACACATACTTATGCATAACAATGGTCTTTATTTATGTTGGCCATTTACCTCTAATGTTCTTCTATTCCTAAGTCCATTCTGTTCCTCGTGTGCTCATACAGTATCCATCACACACCTGCTGCTGAATAACACAGTTCATGTCTCAGATGGCAGTTGGCGTATTCATATGTAGAGGAGGCGTGCCCCAATACTTGTTCTTTTATGTTAAAAGACAAACAAACAGATGCCTTTCACGTCGCTTGGAAATCTGTACAGTTTGACGAAGATACATTTGTTTCCCTTTTATTTTGAGTGTATTATGTAAAAGTTGTCTTCATTTCACGAACGAAGGCAACGTGAGCAAATAAAAATGTGCTTAATAATAAAAAAATGATCCAATCTTAGAGAAAAGGTTAGTAACCACTTCAACATAACCCATCAGCAGTGGCGTCCCTAAGGGGTACCCAGGGATGGCCAATGCCCCCTCCTGAAAAATTGATGGCGCCCATAGAGACGGCCTCCCCAACTTTAATTAATCATGTTCAGTTTTACACAAATCATGCATTCATCTTCTTTATTCAAGACATGAATGTAAAACCCAATAAACACATAATAAATAAATGAGTGACACATGTTGCTGCTGTTCACAATTTTTAAACAGAAGTCTAAATGTTCATAGTTTTTAACTCATTCACAGCCAGCCGTTTCCTGATCACTAACGGCCTTCGCTGCCAGCGTTTCTCACCATTTTTACTGTTTTTTTAAGAGTCACAGAACAGTGCGCTAGCATGATGTCGACGCCAAAACAACCAAAACAAAGATGAGACTCACCTCTTACATCAGGAAGAATCCGCGTGTTTCGAGCGTTATCCTTTCTATCGTAATCCGTTGTCGAATTGTGATCGGCAGAAGCTTTTCCGGTTCGCGCCTCACTTTTTTTTTTACAGGAACGGTCCAAAACGATCTCCTAACACTTGGATGTTTTGCTTCCTGATTATGTGATGTGTGACGTATGCGGATGAAGATCGGCTTCAGGGCTGAGATTTTTGATCTCTCAGCGCGGGGGCTCTTTCCGATGCTCAAACAGTGAAAAAATGCCAATGACGACTTTAGTCGTCGTTGGCAGTGAACGGTTCGATCTAAAATTGTTCAAAATGCTCACACCTATATAAACAATTGAAAAAAATATATTTTATTTCAAAAACATTTATCAAATTTGTGGTGAATATGTTGGATGCACATTGTTTTGTAACGAAAAAGAAAGAAGGAGCTATGCAATGCACAGCTAAAGGCTAAATGCTGTCAGAGATACCACGAGGAACAATTTGGAGTGCCACCTTAAAATTTCCACTGCCCCCATCTGTGCCCCACTGTTTACATTTTCTAGAGGCCACTGCCCATTAAACAATTTGAAATGGGTTAAAAGATCTCAAAAAGCAACATTTTCCCAAGTAATACAAAATAATCCAGAACATCTAAAGTCCAACAGGCGTCAGACTTTGTGCTTCCACACTGAAAAAGTGATGAGGAGAAAACTGTTTTCGCAGGAGAGCCTCAAGGCAAAAACTTGCAAAGAAACATTTTGATGTTCACAGAGACACACAGACAGACAGACAGACAGACAGACGGACGGACGGACGGACGGACGGACGGACGGACGGACGGACGGACGGACGGACGGACGGACGGACAGACAGACAGACAGACAGACAGACAGACAGACAGACAGACAGACGGACAGAACCAAATGCGAACTTTCTAGAAGGTGTGTGTCCCATTACATCGGTTGTAAAACTAATAAAAACAACACCAACTGTAAAGCATGGTGGTGATGGTGTGATGGTCTGGGGGCTGCTGCTTGAGGACTTGTTTCAGCTGCATTCTATCTTCCAGGATAAAACTTTGTAAGGGAACGTGCGACCTTTGACCAAAATGCTAGAAACCCACCGGGATGGTTTAAAACTTAAAGAGGACTGAAATAAGAAATTGTGACCACAAATGCTCGATTAATCACGTTCCATAACGTCGGTGCTCTTTGCAGTTAAAATCTGCAATTGTATCATTCTTATTGTCCAATACTGACATTTGTTTTCTGATCTGAAACATTTTAGAGTGACAAAATAAATAAGCAAACTAAATAGACCAAAACTGTGAGAGACAGAAAATATTCAGTGAGCTTTTTTAATTAAACCTTAATTTCATCCATCGTCCTGTTTCTGCTATTACGGACAAAAAAGACAAGAACTTTAAACTGGTTTCTTTAAACGCTGTTGCTTCAAACAGCAGTGGTTTGGAGAAAACCGAGCCACGCTGCAGGGAAGCAGTTTTGAAGGGGTAACAGATTTTTACACAACACCAGCGGTCTCTAGCCGGAGGTGTTGCCGCTTAAGGAAAGCCTCGCCTCGGGGTGAAGATCCCCAGAAAATGCGGTCTCGTCGGCCCAAAGAGGGTCAATTATTATTGTCATTATTGTTTAACATCCCGAAACAGGATGAGAGGATTATGTTAGCGCGTCTGCCCGGGCCATATGTCCCCTCCAGGACCGCTTGTGTTTAATTAAAAGAACGGGTATGCTTCTTTGGGGGGTGGGTGGGTTGGGGGGGGGGGGGGGGGTTGACTTTCTTCTCCATACGACCTGTTGGAGGTTTTCTTTTTAAGGTCATTGGAGGCAGTTATTGTTTACCATCTGTGTGTAAATAAAGTTTTACCTCAGCAAAATTGTATTAAATATATTTGCTTATTTAGTCAATTGTTTCAAATGATTTTAAAAATCATTACAATTTATTTAAAAATAACACAATTTATTTAAAACGTTTCAAGATAAAGTCACTCAGCCGTAACGCTCATTTGGCAGTTGGCCATTTGTCTGCTGCAGCATAATTGGGTCATTTGTAACTAATAACTGGTGGTCAAAAACACAAAGCCTCGTAAAAAGTCACACAAGTCTGGTTACGTCCTAATTAAAGCAACATGAGACCTTCTGAGCTCAGATGGATCTAAATCTCTACCTGGATTGGTTTTGATAATAGGTTTATGTTTCTGTTCCGTTTATTGGGAGTTTTGACTAAATATTGGGTAATATTATGACCAGGTTAAGTTTATACCCATTAACTCTAGTTTTTGCTAACAGGATTTTTTCTCAAAAACAATCAAATTTGGACTTTTTTTTATTTAGAAATGATTAAATCATGTTAGTTAATAAAAGTCATCATGTTTTCAAGTCAGACATTGATTTATTTAACCCCTTTTATGTCTGTAGTTTAATAATTTGGCTCTCTGTTATGTTGGATCAGTCCAGATTTCTGAAATAATCCAAACTGGGCTGCTTTTAACCATCAGTGTTTATAACCTGTAGACTAAATCCTTTTAAAAGCATCATATTTACGTTTTAACTTTTGATGTTTAATATCACTTTTCCTGATAGTTCTGAATTATTTTTCCTGTTCCTGGACTCCTTGATGCGCCCTGACCCAGACGTGTCGGGATTAGCCTCTTCACAAAGCGGGATTAACATTATCGTCATCTCTTCCAAGCAGAAAAATGCTGATTTCAGCTACAATTTTATGATTTCCTGAAAATACTTGTTTAATTAGCTTTAATTGCGCACGCGCATAACCAAAACAAACAAACTAAAAGATGGATTATACAGGTTACGGATCAACAGTCAGAATGAATCAGGTCTTTATTGTTGTTGAGTTTCTCTTTCATGCACCTTCAAAGGCTTCATTTACCCTGCATTTGTTGTTTAAAAAATTAGAAATCCTTATTTTTTATCTTTTCAGACACAAAACTATCAGATTCACATCTTGCTCTGTTGCGCACACTGCGCAAAATCCTAATATGCAGTGCACACAGGTTATAGAAAGAACACGGGAACTACAAGGGAATAAAAAAATCTAAATTACATAAAAACATTCGGACTGATTGTCTAATATTCTTATATCTTCCCATAAATTAAATAGTGCCTCCAGGTTCATCTCACACACACACACACACACACACTAACGCACACATACACACGCACACGCACGCACACACACACGCACTCCTGCACATCGCTTTGATCAAAAGGACCCTTCAGCGTGCCATCGAAATTCAAAAGAAAAGAAGAGGATGAGAGTCTATAAGGAGCTTATGAACCTGACAAATCCCTCCAACTCAACTCAGTTCGCTCTCTTGATCTTTTTTTCTTCTGGTCAACAGATTTGTTCCGAGTCCCTGATCAAAGCTGGAGAAATCAGTCTCAATAGTCAATAAGTTAGCCCAACAACGGGACAGTCCTGCGCTGCTCGACCCGCGACCCGAGGTAGAAGTTAGGGCCTGAAGTTTCGGGAGGGGGAAAACGTCTCCAAACCGTTTTACGCGTTTGCGTCTTTTTGAATATGTGTGCCACCTCACAAAACTTGGAATTTCCAAGCTGCTTGGTCTTTATAATCCAAACAGTCTGAGTTAAAGTTGAGCTTCCACGACGAGGCTGTTTGTTCCTTGTAGTCCAAACATTCTGCAGCGCTGGTGAAGCCGAGGCCAGCCGCTCCGTACGCCGTGGAGGAGAGCGAGGAGGCCGGACTCAGGTGGCTGGACACCCCGTTGCTGCCCATGGGGCTCATGGTGGAGCCCGCCGAAAGTTGATGGTGCATAGGCGACAGGTAGGAACCGCAGTCCATCCCGTTGAAGTAGGAGGAGGAGCCCGTGTAGCCCTGGTTGTAGCCCGTCGCCTGAGTGTAGGTCATGGGGTAAGAGCGCTGCATGCAGGAGGAGGAGGAGGATGTGGAGAGCGGGTCGGAGAGAGGAGAGATGGAGGCCGGGCTCCAGATGGAGACGGGCGCTGTGTTGCTGCTGCTCACAGCCGGGATGGAGGTGGTGGAGGGCGGCGTGAACTGGCCGCTGGCTCCGCTTTCTGAGCTGGCATCTCTGACCGGCGAGCCCTTCTTCTTCACCGGCCTGGAAACAGTCTTAGTTTGGGCTCCGGTCTGGGTTTGCTGGGCCTGCTGGCGGTGTTTAGCGCGTCTGTTTTTGAACCACACCTGGAAGAGAAACAGAAATGACCAGCTCAGTTTTCTCTAAATGAAATGAAATTTAAATAAATCATTAAAGGTCATTTTATTCGGCTCCAATTAATTCGTTTCAAACGAACGAGAGCGACTTGAGAATAAACCGTTCCTTGAACAGTTTGGATCAAAATAAATCAGTTGACAGAGATCGATCCGCAAACGTCGTGGTAAAAAAGGACTTACTTGGACTCTGGATTCCGGCAGGTTGATCTTCAAGGCCACCTCTTCCCTCATGAAGATGTCCGGGTAGCGCGTCTTGGCGAAGAGGTTCTCTAGCACGTCGAGCTGGGCCCGAGTGAAGGTCGTTCTCTCCCTTCTCTGTTTTCGAGGAGCTGCTGATCAGACCAAAAAAACAAAAGAGATAAAAACCAAATGACCGAATTTTATTGGAACTAAAACTCGCCTTCTTTGATTCAGACCGCAATAAACCCGAAATATTTGAGTAAAACCATAAAAAAACGATCGGATAAAGGTCCAGGATGCAAATTAACTGCATCTAAGAGCTCATATTTTCTTTAAAGAAATAAAAAGCACCCTACGAGGACGAATGTTACCTTGGTATCCCACTGAAGGGTGAAGCAAGTCCACTCCTGAGGTAGATAAACTCAGTCCGTTCACCGTGTACGGAGGTTGCTTCAAATATGACATCATGCTGCTGGCGGCCGCTGGGGATTAAGCGCCAATAAAACAAACAAAAACGGGTTAAAGAAAAAGAAAAAAAGAAGGAAAATGGTGCGGATTATAAAGAGATTATTCTTCTATGATCTCTGATTTCTCCAGATGAATCTGAAGCAACAGAAACAAACCGAACGAATCAGATTCGCGTCCGGCGATTGTTACGCGCAGCCGCTTTTACGCACAGCGGTGGGCTTAAAGAAGTGGGCGTCCTCGAGCTCGTTGGGTTCTTAAAGCGAGTGGAGACCCCCTGCAGCTGCTAACACCCCCACCCCAAACTGAAGATGCTCTCTCTCTCTCTACACACACACACACACACGCGCGCGCACACACTAACCCCGCCTCGTACCCCTCTGGAACACTCCTCTTCTACAACAAAAAAACAAAACATTGTCGTTAAAATGCGCCCAACAGGACTCTCAATTAGCATACATCCCCACAGGTTCGGCCAAGATAAACGGTGGGGGGGTCATTAGACTAAACAAAGCCCGGTGCGGACCGGTAGGTAACAAAAGAAGGCAAAACTGCGTTCGTTTCGACATAAACCAGAGTTTTTTTTGCCTCATTTCGTGTCATTAACATATTTAGAGTAACTTTTCACAGTTGCAAACATGATGAAGAGGTTTTTCAGAGAACGAAGGGCTGATTCATTCAGACTTCTCCTCCTCCCTCACTAATGAATCGCTCTCGGTAATTAGATTTGAAAGGAGACACTTTGGAACTGTTGATTAGAGAGAAGAGCTCTGAAAACAAAACAAGGAGATGGGCCTGGTTATCTTTAAAATGTTTTAGTTGATACTCGCGACAAGGGCAGCTAAAATGATTAAAGGCAAATGTCTGAATTTAAGACATCAGGGGGTTCATGTAGAAGCAGCTTTTAAAATAAAAATAGTTTTTGAAATAAGGCGCAAACTGGTGGGCTGCGCAGTGGCGCAGTGGTTAGAGCTGTTGCCTTGCAGCAAGAAGGTCCTGGGTTCGCTTCCCGGCCTGGGATCGTTCTGCATGGAGTTTGCGTGTTCTCCCTCCCTGTGCATGCGTGGGTTCTCTCCGGGTTCCTCCCACAGTCCAAAAACATGACTGTTAGGTTGATTGGTCTGTCTAAATTGTCCTTAGGTGTGTGTGTGTGTGTGTCCTGTGTGTCTCTGTGTTGCCCTGCGATGGACTGGCTCTCTGTCCAGGGTGTACCTCGCCTAATAATTGCCCATTGACCGCTGGACATGGGCACCAGACCCCCCCCCCCCCCCCCCCCCCCCGGGCCCCGGCGCAAACAGTTTTTACGCGTTTAGCATAAAAGTTAAATGAAGTGCTGTTTTATACAGGTAAAACTTCTGCTTCGGCCTCAAAACCCATTATTATTATTATTATTATTATTATTATTATTATTATTGTTATTATTATTATTGTTATTATTATTATTATTATTTTATTATTATTATTATCTAGCCAATACTATCTGCGTCAGTTTTCATCTCATAAACAGAAATTAATTAGTAGCTCAGAAGGTTTTTTTTTTTCTTGTTAGAAATGAACGGGGTAATCCGGACGGCACGCGCTGGACTGATTACAGGACGCGGCGCGCTGCCACAACTCCGCATTCAGGCCTCGTGTGTTTTCTGCGTCACGAAAATAAAACAAAGACCGGCTTTGTGTTCCTCAGACCAGCTGACCAGAACAGCTCCCCCGCCACACACACACACACACACACACACACACACACACACACACACACACACACACACACACACACACACACACACACACCAGCCTGTTACTTTTTCTAATCGAATACATTATGATTATTATTATGATGATTATTATTATAATAAAAATCAATATTTTATAACCCATTTATTATCAGAACCCAGCAATAATACACACTTAACATGTGTATCACATGTATCACATACATTTTGCCATGTAAATGTAACATTATTTTATTTCTGTACAAAAAATGTTTAATTAATTTTTATAATAAATGTCGGTGTTTGATCAGCTCTAAGGGATCTCTGCAGTGTTCTCCCTCCCAGGGGAACAAGTTGTGAAGCTGTGGTCCTCTCAGCTGAACGCTCTTTCGCTCTGAGCCATGAGGCGTGTTTGGTTTTCCACCAAACACGCCTCCTTATTCATCTCCCTGCAGGCAGTTCACCACACCCTTCCAACAGTTGTAATATAAATGTAAACAAGAATTACTGAAGGCACTAGAGAGTAATAACTTACTTGTTTTTTGTATAAAACGCCTTTTTGGTGGTGGATGTAGATGTAGAGGCCCATCTAGCAGCTTTGATTTGTTTCTTTCTGGATGTTGGATGCGGATCAAACTGAGAGCTGCTGAGTTTTTATGGAGGGAGAAAGTGTGTGTGTGTGTGTGTGTGTGTGTGTGTGTGTGTGTGTGTGTGTGTGTGTGTGTGTGTGTGTGTGTGTGTGGAGGGGAGGAGGTTTGAGAGTCAAGGTTTAGCAGCCAATTAAAATGTGTTTTGCAGAGAATGCAACCACTCTGATGTGGCAGCATGATTTTACACCAGGTTCATTCATATTTAACCCTCTCAGGCTCAAAATAAGTTTTGATAAACGGACGAACAACTAAGTCCTTCAGGGGTACATCTGAGTTAAAAAATACTCATGAAATACGTACGTGGAGTAAGCAGGTACAGGTTTTAACGTTGCAAGTCTGCAACGCCTGCCTCCAGAGGGTTAAAATGATCAGTGACAGGCTGATTCAAATGCACTCTCACAAAAGTAAATGTAAAAACGAAGAAATGAACAACAGCCAACTATTTGATTTTGTTTTATAAAAGACATAATTTAATGTTATTATAGGAAAGAAGAGCAAAATCTAAATTTTCTGTACTTTTCTTGATTTTCAGCCTAATTTTTTTTTTGTGCTCACATTGGGATTATGAAATGTGTGCCAGATTATCAAACGCTCATTCCAACCTGCTCTTCACAGTTGATTCTAACTGAATCATTCCCAGAGGTCTGGAAATGATGGATGTGCTACTACTAGTTTATCCGTTTAATTATAGATCCACTAGGATAAATACAATAAAGTTTATCGTTCACCAAATAGAATATTTACTAAGACATCACAATATAACTATAGACACATTACTAGTCTTTGTGAGTGTGCGTGCATGCGTGCGTGTGTGCGTGTGTGTGTGTGTGTGTGTGTGTGTGTGTGTGTGTGTGTGTGTGTGTGTGTGTGTGTGTGTGTGTGTGTGTGTGTGTTCTGTCTTCTCGATCCCCAGTGAGTCGTGGAGGATGGCTGCTTATACTGAGCCAGGATTCTCTGGAGGTTTCTTCCTGTTAAAAGGGAGTTTTCCTCTCCACTGTCGCTGCATGCTTGCTTAGTATGAGGATTGCTGTAAAGACACTGACACTAGTCAGTGACTGGATGCAATTTGCTGGGTTCCTTATATAGGAAACATTATTTCTGATTGGCTTAATGAACTGACCTGAATTGGAATGTTTATTATGTGAAGTGCCTTGAGACGACTCTTGTCGTGATTTGGCGCTATATAAATAAACTTGAATTGAATTGAATCAGAAACCAAAATGGTTAACTCTACATTCATTTCAGTGACAGGTGATGACATCACACACCTGTATTTTTGCAGCACCCCATTTTTTAACACAAAGTAAAAACATCTTTTTTTTTTTTAATTTTTTCTAGTGAATATAGAAATTCTAAATCCAAACGTGTGCGGTTTTGATGTTTTTCTCTTGCATTCCCTACAAATGCCGCCAGAGACTGAACTCAGTCTTCATCAGACTCAAAACTTTCTCATCGAAACACGACAAAAAGTTTTATTTAATCTCCCATCAGAGGTTTTTGCTTGAAATGTGCTTTTTAGTTTGGATCCCTTGTAGGCTTGCTGTCTTGGCTGGAGAGATGCTCGTGTTCACCGCCGTGACCTCAGTGATCATCTATGACAGCTTCAACATTTGTGCTGATTTTGCCCATGTTGAATTATTTATAGGTGGATTCTGGAACAGTAGCTGCATCCTTCAAATGTTCTCAAAAAATGTCTGTCTCATAATTTAAATTAAATCTGAAAAGTTTTGTGGGGTTAATTTATTTGTAGACAATAATAACTTAGGGTCTATAAACCCCACCAGACAAATCCTTTGGCTACATGCTTTAATGTTTAACTGAAGGCTGATTTAGGTTATTTGTGGATAAATTGGTTCATCATCTTGATTTTACTGTAAGCTGTATGTGCAGTTTACCCGTTTTCCCTGAACCATCACATAACAAACAGCCCGGTCTAGCGTAAAACTCCGAAGCCCTTGTCGTCCCCCCCCAGCTATGTTCTTGGCTCACACTGAGTGCTTTCATCTCCGGCTCTGATATATAATTCATCAGAAAAATATCTAATAGCCCTGGGGAGCGTTTCAGCTAAACGGAGCCGTTCTTGTTAAAAGGTGAAGACGCGTGTTAATGTCTGTAGCAATATGCCCTCCCCTTGTCTCTGGGAGGATCGACAGAGTCACGGTTTCTCCAGCTGGAGGCAGACCGACTCTCCCATCAGAGATCCGGTCGGGCTGACACCAGGAAACATTTCTGCTCCGGATCTCCTTCTGTCTCTTTGAAACACAGATGTACACCAATAAAACAATCATTTAGACTTTTTGCTCCAGTGTGACAAGTAAAACATCCAAATCCAACAGAGAAGTCATATTTTGAATATTTTTTTCCATTGACTTCATCTCATCGGGTCAGACGTGGCCCTGCCTTACCAAGCCCATCTGTTACCCTCTCAGATCCATGTTTCCCATTCAATCCTAATCTCGATAGATTTTTTGACATGGTGAGAGAAGCCACTTTTTTAATGATTATAAGCAACCAAAGTTAGCGTCTGGGGATGCTGACCTGCTGACCTGAGAGTGTGAAGCTGTGGACAGCAGGTGCTTCGTGTTTGAGAGGCAGGATGTGACTCTCACAGCTTCACTTATTGGCATTGAAGTTTATTGTTTATCAAACACAATGATTGAACACCATTCTGAGCCAAAGTCATATTTTTATGACAAATAAAGTTTCCATATTTTGTACTAATGAAACGTTTGAATGTCAAATTCTTCACATCCTTAAATGTGTGCAGCTTTGTTTAAGACCAGTTTATGCATCTTTAAGTTTCTTGTCCAAGGACACAACAGCAGCATTCTGTGGTCGGAGTCAGGATCTAACCTGCAACCTTTTGATTACTACTACTGCTGTCCCACAATCCTCCAGGACAACAGGGGCGAAGTTCTTATCTGAGGGGTTTTGCCCTCATTGCTGTCATGTCTCTGGTTGATTTGATTGATTTGGTCATATTTCCCACCTCTTATACGTTTTTTGTGAGTTTATTGAATAATAAAACATGGAACATTGATCATCTGAGTGCAGATAAAATAAAAGAAGAGACTTGGCTTGTACTTTGTACTCCTTCAGTGAAGTTTGTATAAATGTTCAAGTTGTCTGACTTTTTCCACAAGACGTTTGACCTGCTGCTAGATTTCTTCAGAACTTGTTCTTTTTTGGGGGGAAATGGCCGTGCTGTTAACCAATTTAAAGGAAGTGGCATGCTGACAAATCACAGCTTGCACGCTGCATAGTTTTTGTTGGACATTTAAAACTTTTTGGTCGTACTTTACAGTAAAAGTCCCTTATTAACGTTACTTAATGCATTATTAAGCATTAATAAACAAACTGTCTCTTTATTAACATTACTTAGTGCATTATTAAGCATTAAAAACAAATAGTTTTCTTTACTAACGTTACTTATTGCATTATTAAGCATTAATAAACAAAGGGTTTTCTTTACTAACGTTACTTAGTGCATTATTAAGCATTAATAAACAGAAGGTTCCTTTACTAATGTTACTTAATGCATTATTAAGCGTTAAAAAACTAAGGGGTTTCTTTACTAACATTACGTATTGCATTACTAAGCATTAATAAAAAACTGCCTCTCAATTAACATTACTTATTGCATTATGAAGCATTAATAAACCAACTGTCTCTTTATTAACATTACTTAGTGCATTATTAAGCATTTAAAAACAAATAGTTTTCTTTACTAACGTTATTTATTGCATTATTAAGCATTAATAAACAAAGGGTTTTCTTTACTAACGTTACTTAGTGCATTATTAAGCATTAATAAACAGAGGGTTCCTGTAATAATGTTACTTAGTTCATTATTAAGCATTACTAAACAAAGGGTTCCTTTATTCATGCTACTTAATGAATTATTAAGCCGTAATAAACAAAGGATTCCTTTATTATGTTCATTAGTGCATTATTAAGCATTAATAAACAAAGGAACGCTTTATTAACATTACTTAGTGCATTATTAAGCATTAATAAACAAAGGGTTCCTTTATTAACATTGCTGCTATTGTTGACTATTGATTGTCCTTAAGGCTAGGACAAAAGGCCAGTACATTAATACATTGTGGTTAAGCAGTTGTTAATACTGTTATGATTAGTTTATTAATGATTAATAATGCAGTAAGTAACATTAAAGGACTCTTGTTATAAAGTGTTACCAAACATTTTTATCATTTGTTCCTTGTTACTCAGTTTTCAACTTTGTGGGTAAGGGTTAGAGTTACAAAACATTAATGATACAAATGTTAGCAAAACTGGTTCCAGTGCGTTTACGTCAGTTTAACTTTCTCAGTAGCGACCCCTTTTGTATAGAATAAAGGCTGCAGGGACAGTGTGTCTCACACTCATGCATTAACAATGATGGCACGGTGACTATGTTACACAAACGCCAATGCAAGAAGTTATGAGTTCAGAACCATTGAATTTATCATTTCAGACACACTTTCTGTGCAATGCTACTATTTAACCCCCCCCCCCCCCCCCACACACACACACACACACCACCACCCCCCCCCCCCCACACACACACACACACACACACACACACACCCCCCACACCCCCCCCACCCCCCCCACACACACACAGATTCAGACACTCACCACTGCTGGTTTATTCATGCCCTTCACTGAGATACATCTACTTGTGGTTTGCCCATGGGAGGGATGGCTGTCTTGTGTCCGCTGGTACCTCGTTAACCTCCCACAGCCCGTGGCAAACTGAGAAGGTCCATACCTGGGCCTTGGTCAGCAGGGACACACTCCGGGAGCCCAAGACCACCTACCGTCCGCGGGGAGGGGGACAGGCCAGATAGAGGAGGGCCAAACAAAAACACACAACCTGGCATCCCCACAGCAAACAGCCCTCCCACCGTCAGCTAGCATCTGGGGCACAACACACAGCTCCTCTATTCAAATTCTGAGGGAGACAAGCACACACACACACACACACACACACACACACACACACACACACACACACACACACACACACACACACACACACACACACACACACAGAGAGAGAGGGAGAGGTTTGTATGCAAGCTGTGATCTAATTCGCATTTTCATTTGTACTCACAAGATAAAAATTCTGAGTTGTTTTTCCAAGATAACAATGCTGCATTTTCTGCAGCTGCAACAAAAAAGGTTTGTTTTTTGGACGTGAGGCTGAGGCTAAATGCTCTGAACGCAGACTTTCAGCAGAATAAATTGCATGAGGAGAGTAAAGTTCTGAAAGTGCACAATAGAAAGAGACTGTGGAGCAAGTGATAGAAATGAGGAGGAGGAGTGTAAAGTTAATCCGGGCTGAATTGGTGGGTTTGGCTGCAGGAAAACAGTTTTTCTTTTCTTTCTCTTCTCTGCAAATTTGCTCTCCCCCATTCCCTCTCTTTTCTGCTTCCTCCCGTGCCTTTTGCTATTTCTCTTCCTTCTTATCCGTTTTAATTAGAGGGGCTATTCTGCAGCACAGAAGACCTTAATCCCCGACTGACCAACATTGTAAAAAGCCAGCCTTTGAACAGCCGACCTGCACCCCTCTCACCCACCAGCAGCACCATCACAGCGTCCAATCGCTGCAAACACTCCGCTGCTGGGAAAACACATCTCTCTCTCTCTCTCTCTCTCTCTCTCTCTCTCTCTCTCTCTCTCTCTCTCTCTCTCTCTCTCTCTCTCTCTCTCTCTCTCTCTCTCTCTCTCTCTCTCTCTCTCTCTTGCTTCCAACATTTTGTAAAAAGCAGTTTGGGAATTGCTACAAGGAGAACATCTCTGAAAGAGCATTCCAATATCCGCTTAGATTATCAAAGAGCTTTAGGTTTCAAACTGGGACAAAGGCGGGGTCAAACAGCAGGCGACCTTCACTGAATCAAAGTTACTCAATTAATGATCGAATATTTGAAGAGGAGCAGTTTAAAAGTGGAATTTTACTGAAGAAAAATACCTTGATTTGGAGCCCAGATTTCTAATTTACTCGATTTAAAGTCAATTTCAGCCTAATTTTAAATAAATACCAACTTACCAAACCATGAACTTTGTTTGGAGGATGAGATTTAGGGTTTACTCAATAAAAAAGAAGATAAGTGAATGTTGTTCACGCAGTCTTTATTACTCCTCATCAGATTTGAGGCAGAAGTCTACTTATTTTTTTCTTTTTTGAAAAGAAAATACAAACAGAACACTGTCTAGTCCATTACAAATATTGGTTAAAGAGCAAGTAACGTCTAAATTAACTTTTTTTTGCTGATGAACTGTATAAATGAGTGTCTAATAGTGTTTTAAATGTGTGTATTCATTATTTTAGCATTTTGGTGCATTTTCTTAAAAAATTAAAAATTCTGCCTAAATACCACAGTATAGCTCCACCTTCAGCTTAAAACATAGAATTTGACTCATTTTGAATAAATTTTAGCCAATGGCTAAAGAGTAAGATACTACGTAATCCAGTAGAGTACTACGTAGCAGCTCTGTGTCAACGTTATAAAAGCATCGGGAGTCTCGGCCACGCCTTGTGGCGAGTTGGGAGTTGGATTTGCATGAGAGTGTAGGAGGCTAGCCGTAGTTCAGCATTAGCATATAGCATTAGCATATCCTAGTCTTTAGCATAGCTTTTAGTGTTATACATACTTATTTAGTGTTAGCTTGGCTGTTGGATATTGTAGTTTAGTTACTGTTTGGCTGTTAGTGTAATTAGGAAAGTAGTTCGGGTTTAGTGCTCCATATCGGGTTAGCATGGTGAGATGGTGTAGTGTAGTATGGTTGCGGAGCTCTGTCGGGTTGCACTCCTTTCCGCTGGACTTAGAAATTAGGCGCCAGTGGTTGCGTGTCTGGAAAAGATTCAGCTCCCGCCTGGTGCTGTAGTTTGCAACCAGCATTTTACCCGCGATTCTGCACGTCTCCGTTCCAAGAGGGAGGTTGTGCCCACCGTGGCTCTTCCGCGATTTAGATACAGACCACCGACTCTGCTCCCCCACCATGACGGGCTACAGTCTGAGGTGAGTAAGCTAAATAAAAGTTTTAACATCTTCTAAAGACAATTTCCTACCTAAATGCAAAGTTTGAGAGACGTGGTTCACTCCATTTAGCTAATATCAGTCTGCACTGCCTTCGGGCTGATTTGTCAAGTTCACAAAATGTGGAACGGGATGTAAGGTTAGAATCAGCGGCGAATCGGAACATATCTCGAAGCCCTGGCCGACAAAACGGTCCACATGACTGTCAGGCTCAGAGAAAATTCGGGTTGTTTTTGTGTCAGTCGGTAATTCAGCAACAGTGACTCTAAACTGACGCAGCACTAGTTGACAGACAGCATTACAGCGTGAAATCTAGCACAGCGTGACCCGGTTCCGTGAGGAATTCTGTTCAGGAGGTCGCATTTCAGGGTCTCCACATCATATGTGACTGACTTTTACTTTATAATAACATCACACACTAGGAATGTTATAAAGCGCCTATATGGGACAGTTTCTTTTGTATTTTATCTGACTTTATAAACATCAATGTGCTTCTATTTTTTTCAGGCTAAATCTACCCAAGACACTGGCTGTCAGACTGATTTAGTAATCTGCAAGAATGCACTTGTCCAGGCTGACGTGAAGCCTTACCCGTAGCAAAGGTGAATTATTTTTAAGAATCTTCTATGTAAACATTTTATTACCTTCTAGTTTTAATTTGTTTTACAGATTGTTACAAGTGATTTTATGCTCTTTTAAACATTTATAAATGTGCTGCTTCTTTGTTTTTATAGAGCTCACAGCCTCAGTGTCTTGTGACACAGGGACCATGACAGAAATTCATCTTCCAGAAGGTCCCAGAGCATCCACACCCCCTGAAAAGACCACGGTGTGAGGTGTCTGCTGTTGATTCCAGCTTCCACCTCAGTGACAGTGCAAGCTCAGTGAACTGTTCAAGGTAAAAAAAAAATTAAAACATTTCTGAATTTTTAAGATATTAACAATTAAATAAGTATGTGATTACATCATGAAGGAGGCTACTGATTCTGGCCCTGTGACACTTGGTGGTCACCACCAGGTGGTGACGTGTGAGCTGATTCACCTGGTAAATAACTTTTAAATATTTTGTTTTTGCTATCAAAAGTAAATTAACTAATAACCTGCATTACTGCAGGACACTCAGCAAAATATGGACTCTACACCATGAGGCAGGCACACGTTAATAACTCTATAAGAGTACATAAGGTAAGCAACACCACATATTTTTATTACTGTACACTGTCCTGGATTTTTCTTTCTGCATCTCATCATTAGCCTGGCTGATCACCTGATAACTCATGTTATCTGGTTATGACAGCATGAGGATGTCCTCACACACCTGTAACCTACCAGCTCATCTGGCAGAATAGAGAGAGAAGAGACAACACCACATCTCCTGTTCCTGGAAAGCCTTCAGCCATCCTTCGATGACTGAGAACCTCCATCAGCTCTGTCTCCTGTCTGCCTACAATTATTATAATAAATATTGTGTTTGACAAGTTTTTTGTGCTGCCGAATATCTCATTTTGATTCCAGTTTTGATATTTTAATGGATATTTATAAATTACATTGATTATCACATTTTTGTTGCATGTTTAACTAGCTCTATTGTGATGAATTAAACTAGCACCTCACTGTTAAAAGCTCGTTTTAATTTCAAGCATGTTTAAGTATTTATGGACATGAACAAAAACAGGAAATATATAAATTGAGATTTATTTAATTAATATAACAAATAAGGGGGAAAGAGTCATTGAAAGGCACATTCTTCTGGAAGCTCCTGATCCCGACGACATCAGCAGGAGATCAGCTGCAGACACCAGAGGATCACCTGCAACCAAGAGCAGCTAGCATCAGTAAATAAATAATGAAATCAGGGCAGTTTTAATGGGCTGAACACATTACAGAATAATTTTCTCATGGGATATTTTCATAACTTTATGCAGCAGACTGTAGCTTGAGCCCAGATCTCCTGGAGAGCTGCTATCCAGCACGTTTCAGTGGATTTTCCTGCTTTAACAGGTTAGATAAGCTGTTAAGCAGCTCAGCTGTTTGTTGCTGATTAAAACCAGGTGTGTTGATGCAGATAAATCTCTAAAACATACTGAATACTAGCTTTTTAGGGCCATGGAGACAAACCCTGCAGCTAATCCAATGCTATGGCTAACGGCTACTTACGTTCAGAGATGGGTCTGTTGGGTCGGTTCCAGTAATTTCAGGCAACTCACAAGCTCAAAACAATAAGGCTCATGTCCGCTTGTCTCCTCCAAATAGACTTGGTCCCTTTCTTCTCGAGTGTCTGGGTAAGGAGGGGGAGAAACGTCCTCCACTTCTAATGACTGCTCAGAGTGAAGGGAGCTAGCTTCGTCTAGTTAGCCGTCTCTTCGTCACTGCCGCGGCTCCGCCCTCTCGGTCCTCCAGGCAACGCCTACTAATGTTGCAGTTTTTAAAATTGATACGTGGGTGGGGTAAGACTCTGAGGCACACTTGACATGCACTTTAAACAGATGTTCTGCTTATATGTCCATAAGCCACGTGTCTACTGTAACGTGATGAAGGAGCTATTCCTCAGGGTTATTATCCTCTAACCACAGTTCCCTTTGACACAGCGCCAGAGTGCATGAAACAGCCTCAAGGTCATGCCTTCGCTTCTAAACTGTTTACTTTCTAGCAATCAAGACAGAAGATGAACAGACTCGTTTCTTTTATTGAATCAAAGAACTCTATTTTCAGTAAAGCTAATCAAAACAACTGTTAGTCAATAATACAATGTGACGGATCTGTGAAATTACAATATTATGATTAATATGTTTTTAATAAGTAAATGACTTATTCTAGTCAGACATGCTGATACACTAAGGTAAATAATCACATGACACATTGCTGTTGCTGATCCAATCAGAACCTTCCTATTCTGAAGCGTGGCAGAGTCTCTGTGGTGTTTATTAAATATGTAAGCTTTGATTCGTCCAGAATAAAAAACATCCAGATTAATATAACAGTCGAACGCCATCTTAAGTTCAGTTCTCAAGATCCCATGAAGTTCAACGCATGTTAAGTGAATTACGGACAGGCCATCTATACTTCTCTTTCTAAGCTGAGAACCATTCAAGCTGGGAAAATTCCGTTGTTACCAACCAAGCAACGGGCCCTTCAGAATAAAAGCTGAACTCGCTGACCCAAGGAGGGTCCCCTTTTTGACGCTGTGAAACACCTGTCGCTTTTTACCTGGAGACTATCCAAAGACTGGTTTGTCGTACTGTGACGCTGTACCATTGGCTCCAGTACCAAAAGGAGGGTCCGTGGACCTGGCATCCGGATCTGTACGGAGGTCTCACTGAGGGTATGTGGATGCGATATAAATGGCGTCTCATGTGTTTATGACTACGAGTCTCAAACTTTGATCAGTTAGGAGCAAAACATCATCTCCCACTCAAACTTTGTTTCTCCGGATACGTAGGTTCTGAATTTGACATCATTCACACACACCAACCACCTCACACTTCATTCCAACAGAACATCCATCATTAGAGAGTTAGTCTTGTTAAATTGTTTAAAATCATTTAGTAATAAATTTCCTTAAACGTTTGAAAGTCTCTCTTCTCTTGTCTCTCAGTTAATGCAAAGTGTTATTAGAAAGTCCCTGTAATAAAAAGATCCAATCTTCTGATTTAAATAACCCAGTGTCCATAAGGTGGATTTCATATTTCCTATGGAATCCCATGCCTTATGGCTCATTAAATAACACGTAATCTAATTCATTACACTACTCATGTTTTGGCTGTTGTTTTAAAGACATCAAGATCAATTTGTTCTCCACTTCATTCAAACTAGCTGTCATTTTTTTCAATCCTGCAAATGTAAACTCTTTTTTTTTTCAAATGAAGAATGTTCAGGGAAGAAGGACCATCATTATTAATTAATTTTGCACAAAGGTACGGTGGCCCTGAAGGGCCAACCACACCAACAAATCACTAAACACATCTACAGATTAAGAAAACTCAACAACAGTTTGAAAAACAAAATTATATTAACGTACCAGAAGAGGTAGTCACCAGTGACCACAATGAGCTTCCTCCAGGGGTGTTCGGTCCTGGAGGACCACTACCCAGCAGGTTTTTGTTGTTTCCCTGCTCGTAAACTTAACAGGGAGCACAAAATCGATAGGCAGATTGGTGATGCGCCTACAGTGATGCGGGCCAGTTTGTCGAGAGAGAGCTGAGCCAAAAGGCGAAGCTCTTGTTTTACCGGTTGATCTACGTTCCTACCCTCATATGGTCACGTGCTTTGGGTAGTGACATAAAGAAGAAGATTGTGAACACAAGTGGCCAAAATGAGTAGATCTGCTGCTCCCCCACATCGAGAGGAGCCAGATGAGGTGGCTCGGGCATCTGGTTAAGATGCATCTTGGTCGTCTCTCTGGTGAGGTTTTCTGGGCACGTCCAAAAGGGAGAAGACATTTAGTTTAGTTTATTTGTCATATGCAAGTTAGCACAGGGTCAACATTGCAATGAAATGTGTTTGACGAGCAGCGGTCTCTCAGCAGCATAATACAATAGAAAAAAGAACAAGGTATAATACAGTAAAAGCAAAATATTAGAGAGTCATGCTAAAAGTAAAAGCTTACTAAATAGATAAGTAAGTATAGATGACTAAATATAAATATATCTAAAAAAAGTGAGTAGTAACATTAAAATGAAGTAACCAGTGCAGGTTAAATTTTACTTGTGGAGCTGCAGGGTAACATCTGTATCCTGTGTTGTGTGTGTTTAAGTGTAATGGTTGAGGTGTCGTATGGCTTGGTGGTAGAAACTGTTTTTAAGTCTCGTAGTCCGAGCAGGCAGTTTCCTGTAACGCCTGCCAGATGGTAACGAGGAGAACAGCTGATGCGCTGGGTGGCTGTGGTCCTTGATGATGCTGTGTGCTTTCCGGAGGCATCGCTGGAGATAAATGTCCTGAATGGCAGGAAGCCTTGTGCCAGTGATGTGCTCTGCTGCTTTCACCACCCTCTGTAGTGATTTACGGCTGCTGGCAGAGCAGCTTCCATACCAAACTGTGATGCAGCTCAACAGCAAGCTCTCAATAGCACACCTGTAGAACTTTGAGATGATACTCGTTTTCATGCCAAACTTCCTTAGCCTCCTGAGGAAGTAAAGCCGCTGGCGAGCTTTTTTTTTGGCGACATAAAGGAAGACCCAGGACACGCTGGAGAGACTATTTCTCTTGGCTGGCCAGTGAACACCTTGGGATTCCCCCACAGAATTTGACCCAAGTGGCTGAGGCGAAGGAAGTCTGGGCCTCTCTGCTTAGGCTGCTGCCTCTGCAACCCAACCCTGGGTAAGCGAAAGACAATGGATGGGTGGCTAGAAGGATGGATGGATGATGCACTGTTAAATCTGATTAGTCACCCTTGCTTGAGAGCAACATGCAAACTGGTTGGACTGACAATAATAAGTACACCAAAAGGCACTTAAAAGCAATTTACCATAACTAAGACAAACCAGTACAAAGTACTTTGAAATCTGATTACTGAACTAGTATTTTTGTGTAATCTTAAAAACACAAGTAATTTGTACTGATTATTCTTATCTATAGTAACTTGCATTTAAGTGCATATAACTTTGCGCGTACTAGTTACTCTGACATTTAATTACTCCCTATTTATTAATTTAGGTGCAATAGATTTGCATGATTATTTCAAGGGTAATTAATCAATGTTGTAGTGTGATTAACAGGCTTCTGCTGAGCTTGGTGACCTAGTGAACAGGTGATTGAACCATTGAATCAAGGTTGTTGCAGAAGTACAACATGCTGCATGGTCTCCCTCCAGGACCAGGATTGGACACCACTTGCATACACGGTGGTTGTGGAATTTCTCGATCTTACATAATTCCTAAAGCTGTTGCAAAAGTTCCATAAGCTCACTAAGTATTTTCTGCTCTCCTTTCTCTTCGTCAAACGTGCTACAGGCAGAACAACATTCAGTTCAAAAAACAAACAGCGCCATATTCCAATCAGCAATGTCTCATGTTGATCACTGGTACATTCCTCTTCTGGTTAGTTAAAGAGACAATGTGTAGTTTTTACCATTAATCTCTGGAAATATCCATTGAATAGTTGTTGAAAATGAATTAAATGATTCCCAGTTGTCAAAAAACATTGGCGGCTTCGTAATATATAACCATAAAATTTTGGTCTAAAATACGTGGGAGTGGGTCTAAGTCTCTGGGCAAAGACGTATTTGACGCCATGTATCCTTCTATGGGAGCCCGTGAGGACAAAAAGCATTTCTGGAGGCTACACTGAAATGTAACAAACGTTTACAAAACTTTCACCATTCATAAACGTTGTTGTTTCACACATTTACTTCTTCACTCATTGCCAGGGATGAAAGGGAGTCTGATGTGCCTTTGATTTTGCTGGAGATTGCGCTCCCAGGGATGTTTGACCTTACAGTAACTTTCCAAAGTTTTCTCTGTTCAGAAATTATGTATGATTTTTCAGAAATCTGTAAAAGTGATTGTCTTGTCATGAACTGCGGTATAATGTAAGCAATACATTTTATTTATTTATTTACTAAGCCCCTGCCCCGCAGAGCTCCATGCAATAGGAAACTGAGCACCAGCTAGAACTAACTAATATCGTTAGACTACCACTTACGTGCTTCAAATTTAAGGAATACCTCAGCTGATGCAGAGTTGATTAACTTTTCACGGACAAGTAAAATATAAATATATGAAAACACAACATTACTTGAGAACAAAACTTAAAAAACAATATGTTTTAGCTCTGTTTATCGGCTACAGGGCACATTCATAAACAAGAAACGTGAAGTCACCATCTTTAAAAATGGATCAAGAGACTATTTGTGTTATATGCTTGTCAGCCACTAGATGGTGCCATTGGATAAAATAAATTATCCGGAAAGATGCTTTAACGGCCATCCGTTGATAAGGTCTTACTTCAACACCAAAATACTTCTTGTTTGCAACTAATTAGGTATGTACTGCTCTGTACCTCTCTCAAGCACACAGGTTAAACCGCTGCTAAAAAAAAATCCCTTCCTCCATATCATGTGTAGAACTACCGACCTATCTCTCTCCTCCCGTTCCTAACTAAAATTATCGAAAGGGTGGCCTTCAAGCAGATAACAGGGCACCTCTCACAAAACTGTCTGCTTGACCCTTACCAATCTGGGTTCAAAAATGACCACTCCACTGAAACAGCTCTGTTAGCAGTGACAGAATCCTTAAAAGAAGCTAGAGCGACTGCCAAATCCTCAGTACTTATCCTGCTTGATTGACCGGCTGCATTCGACACTGTCAACCATGACTTCCTTTTGTCCATACTCTCTAGCATAGGCATCACAGGGAAAGTACACTCCTGGTTTGAATCGTACCCGACAGGACGAGCTCAGTGTATCTTGGCTCGGACAATCTTCTGCTGTTCACCATCTTGCAACTGGAGTCCCCCAGGGCTCTGTACTT